AATAAATGAACAAATAATTTTTTTTTTTTAAATTACATACATAAAGGCCTTCGTAAAGTGTGGGCTGTACTTGTCAGAACAATTTTTTGTATCTCCTTGAGGCATGGACTTCCAGGAATCCCTTCAATTAGTCAACTGGAATCTTTTCCAACCAGTACTAGGGCTCTAACTACAACAGGGATTGTTCATGTTCCCATATACCACATTTTCGAGATTTCTATTTCAAGGTCCTTGTATTTTGACAGCTTTTTGAATATCTTCAAAGATACATTGCAGTCAGCAGGGACTGCCATATCAATAAGGAGGCACCGTTTTTGTTTGTGGTCTTTAATAACAATATCTGGCCGGTTGGCCTTGATTGTTCTGTCAGTGTGTATTGTGTAGTCCCATAGAATTGTAACAGGTCCTATCTCCGTAACCGGGTCTGGGTGGTGTTCATACCAGTTTCTTTCAGTTTCTTTCCTGTAGAAGTTGCAGATTTTCCAGTGCAGATATTGGCCCACTCTGTCATGTCGGGTTTTATATTCAGTGGGTGCCAACACCGTACAACCTGATACAAGATGATCAATCGTTTCTGGATATTTATCACAGAATCTGCATTTTGGGCTGACACAATATTTTAGTATATATGCTTGATAATTCCTAGTTAGCAAGCATTGGTCCTGTGCAGCAAGGATAAAACCTTCAGTTTCAGCTTTCAACCCTGCACTACGTAGCCACTGATGGGTTAGTGTTTTGTCTACGTCAGCTTGTTTGGTACGGGCAGAGTATTGGCCATGAAGCGGTTTATCTTGTCATCGCTTCTGTATCTGGTCGGTTGCATTCGTCTTTGCTGTCTTTTAAAAGTATTTTGCAGTTTCAGCCGGTGTATTGTGCTGTAGTTGCATCTCTACGCCCATTTGAAACTCCATTTTGAATTTGTTAGCTTCTTTTATTACGGAGTAAAGACGCTTACTACTTTCATGTTCCTTGACGCATACCATCATCCAGTCTTCTGTAGTTCCCAAGTATCTTTGGAGGCCAATTGTTGTAGTTTTGTAGGACAGTTCTAGTTGAACTAATCCTCTGCCTCCTTCGGATCTGGGCACATACAGACGATCAGCATCAGCTTTGGGATGATGCATGCGATAGCAAGTGAGTAGCTTTCTCGTTTTGGCATCCAGTCGCTTAATTTCAGCTATGGTCCAGTTAAGGACATTAAAGCTGTATTGCACCACAGGGACAGCCAATGTGTTTATGGCTGATATCTTGCTTTTTGAGTTTAACTCAGTATTTAGTACCAGACGTACACGCCTGTAGTACTCTTTTCTTATTTTTTCCTTCATTTGGGGGTGTTGTATCCCATCTCCTTCGCTAATTCCTAGGTACTTATAAGCTTCATCATCCTCCAGTTCCCTAATCTTTGTGACAAAATCTAAATCTATTAAGGGTGTTTCTGTAATTCTACCTTTCTTGAATGTTACTTTTGCACATTTATCTAATCCGAAGTCCATACCTATGTCGTCACTAAAGTATTTTACAATATTGAGGAGGCCTTTCAACTCATTGTCGTCTTTGGCAAAGAGTTTGAGATCATCCATGTTGAGTAGGTGATTATTATTATTATTATTATTATTATTATTATTATTGTCCTTCTTCGCCGTCTTCTTCTTGGCTACCTTCGTCTTCTCCTTCTACAACCCCTCTTCTTTCTCATTATTATTATTCTTATTGTTGTTGTTGGTGGTGGTGCTGGTGGAGTTGTTGTTGTTATTCACTGTCTTCTTGACTAGCTTCGTCTTCTTCTACATCTCATCTTCCTTCACACTATTATTATTATTATTATTATTAATATTATTATTATTATTATTATTGTCCTTCTTCGTCGTCTTCTTCGTGGCTATCTTCGTCTTCTTCTTCTACATATCTTTTTTTCTTCTCATTATTATTATTATTATTATTCGTCGTCTTTTTCTTGACTCCCTTCACCTTCTCCTTCTACATCTCCTTCCTTCTCACTATTATTATTATTATTATTATTATTATTATTATCCTTCTTCGCCGTCTTCTTCCTTGGTTACCTTTGTCTTGTCGTCCCATATCTTCTTTTTCTTCTCACTATTATTATTATTGTTGTTATTATTGTGATGGTTGTCGTTGTTGTTGCTGCTGCATTTGTTTTTTGTTATCGTTGTCCTAACTACGTACTTTGCCTCTCCATTTCCTTTTCATTATAACTGCTTTCTTCTTCTTTTCTGTCTTCGTCTTTACCCTCTACATCTTTTTCTTTCTTTTCCCTCTTTTTTGTTCGCCTTCTTTTCGGCCTTCGTCTTCTCCGTCCACATCTTGTTATCTTAACAACCGCTCTCGCCCAAAAGCGTTCCTCTTCTCCCTTCTCCTCTTCTCCCTTCTCCTCTTCCTTCCTTCCTTCCTTTCTTCCTTCCTTCCTTCCTTCCTTCCTTCCTTCCTTCCTTCCTTCTTGCCGCATTACTTATTTCATATCAACACTGCCACCACCACCATCATCATCACCACCGCCACAACCGCCATCATGACGATTATCATCATCATCCTCCGCCTCCTCCTCCTCATCATCATCATCATCGTCATCACTAACATAACCCTAAACGTGTTCATTTTTTCTCTCCTCCCATTACCAACCAACACACTCGCACACACTTTCATTGCATGTTGCGGAATGAAAAATCATATACAGAAAAGAGAAAACAACAAAAAGAAAAGAAAAAGAAATCATATCACTGCAAATAAATAGATAAAAAAAAATCACACTTCACAATCGTTGATTCCTGCTGGAATTAGTTTTTCTTTTCGAATCTCCAGAGATAGAAGAGCTCCTTCCGCCTTCAGCAGTGGCCACAAAGCGATATCTTTGATGAAAATAAGAAAAAAAAACATTGTTTTTCGTGTTCGTTCAATTTGTAAGGGCGCGAACGAAATGGAAGAATCCAGGAGTTTTACAAAAGAGTAATACAAGATCAAAAGCAGAAGGCAGACAAACCAATTCCACAGACAAACCAATTATTCAAGCACTATTTCTGCCAGAGGTCATAATATATACAGCAAGGGTCAGTGAGAAAAAAACATTAAAACTTGGGCATTATATATTTATCTAACAAATAAAAGTAATATGACTACTATCAAATAGATAGATATGAACAGAATTAGATAGATAGATAGATAGATAGATAGATAGATAGATAGATATGAACAGAATCATAGATAAATAAATACATACATACATACATATTTACAGAATGAGATAGATAGATAGATAGATATGAACAGAATCATAGATAAATAAATACATACATACATATTTACAGAATGAGATAGATAGATAGATAGATAGATAGATAGATAGATAGATAGATAGATATGAACAGAATGTGATGAGATTTAAATAAATCGAAGAGTTACTGCGAAAATCTTATCTGCTATTTCCTTATATTGTATCACAATGTCGGAGGCAGATATTCGTGAACATTTGCATCAGTAACACTTAAGGTTTTTGGATTGCAGTCTGGCAAAATGGCGTTTGACATAATTAGCAATCTTTTAACGTTTTTGGAGACCATACAGTGGATGTCAGCACAGTCAGTTCGTGAGTAATGTGTTGCAGCCATGCTAACATCTATGTGGGTAACAGTAACGTGTTGGGCTGCCCTCCACAGCTGTCAGCCAGCAACAGTAGCGATCCTATCTTGAAACGGAACCTTGGGATTTAAATAAATCGAAGGATTATTGGGAAATTGTTACCTACTCTGTCATTATATTGCATCAAACGTCAGAAGTGGATATTCATGTCATGGTAGGTGAACATTTGCCTCAATAAAACTCAAGGTTTTTTACATTATTAAAGATAGCAGTCTGGCAAGATGTCGTCTGTCATAAGTGGGAATATAAAAAGCTTCAATGTTTCATTGAATTACTCCTTGCAGAGAAAAATGCTTCTCTTAAAATCTGTTAATGTTTGCGGAGACCATACAATGGATGTCAGCACAGTCAGGTCGCGAGTAATGTGTTGCAGCCATGCCTACAGTAATGTGGGTAACAGTTACGTTCTGGGCTGCCCTCCACAGCTGTCAACCAGCAATGGTAGATAGATAGAAAAAGACTGAGATAGATAGATAGAGAGAGAGAGAGAGAGAGAGAGAGAGAAAGAAAGAGAGAGAGAGAGAGGAAACAAAGCTACATGAAAAGAGATATACAGATTAAGTCATATGCGTTGAGATAGATAGATAGATAGATAGATAGATAGATAGATAGATAGATAGATAGATAGATAGATAGATAGAAGTCGACGGGGAGAGTCGAGTATATAGATATAAGATAGATATAAAGCTGTACTGAAATATTCTTAGCCCAGGCTACTGCCGAATATTACTCTTTAATTGATAGCAGGCTAGATATGTATAAAAACAGATAGATAGATAGATAGATAGATAGATAGATAGATAGATAGATAGATAGATAAAAAGAGATATACAGATCAAGCCATATGCGACCGAGATAGATAAATAGATAGACAGATAGATAGATAGGAAAAACGAGATAGATATAAAAACTGAGATAGATCGATAGATACATACATACTCACATGATAGATTTAGATAGATACGAGAGTTTACCTAACAGTCCATAGGCTCATACCAAACTTCTTCTATTGGTATTGCAGGTATGGTCAAGAACTTTTCACTCTGTCGGTCAAAGAATTCCTCAACAGTAGCTATGACGTTATCATCAATGCGATACTCGTTCCCAGCCAAATGTTTTTCATGTTGGAGAACAGATGATAGTCCGATGGAGGGCGGGGGCAAATCATAATCATAAGATTAAAGTACTTTTTTTGTTGGAGGATTGTCCTACTAAACAAATTTCCCCTTCATCTGTATTTTTTATTTTTATTTATTTTTTTATTTTATTTTATTTTATTTTTTGCAGGACGTTTGCTCTTGATTCCCTTTCGTAACTGTCTCTACAAATTGGCCTAGTACTCTGCATTAATGGTGTTATTTTAAGGTCAATAAACACAATGCCTTTCGCATCCCAAAATCTGAGATTCTCGTCTTCCATGCAGATGAAACGATTTTGACATTTTTTGAAGCAGGTGACGAATGGTGCCTGCATTTCATGGCTTGTCCTTTTGCCTCTGGCTCAAAATGATGAACCCAATACTCATCCTGTGTTAAGTAACGTTCACGGAAATCAACTGATTCTGCCTCAAGCAATGTCAGATATTCTCGTTATGAGGGCTTTTGATAAGGTGACCCCCGTTGAGCAGGAGCCTTCGTCAGGCCCAGTTCATTGTGCAGAGTATTATCCACTCTATCACGAGATATACTAATAGCATTGGCTATTTGATCTTTAGACAATCGCTTGTCATCCATCACCATGTGATGAACACGATCAACGTTTTCAACGGTGGTGGCAGTTGCAAGACGTCCAAACCTTCAGCAATCTACAAGACTCTCCCCTACCCTCTTAAATTCAGCTCTCCACCTTAGCACAGTGCATAAAGCTGGAGCGTCATCTAATGTGGAAACCATGTCAGCAGGTGTTGTATAGAAATAATATATCGCTACCGACACTTGAGTTTGAACATAGATTGCTAGTAAGCAAACACACGCGATCCCATTATTAAATTAATTGGATCACTTGACCGTGGTTGAAACGTGTAAGTAGGTCGTAGCGTAACGTCCCAACGATCGTTATTTCTAGTCTATCCTCTATTACTATACAGACCTCTATTCTCTACTCTCTTCACTATACTATTTCTCTATTCAGATCACTATACGGATTACTATTCGAGCGAGTATTATCGAGCAAGTACTATTAGTGTGAGTGATATTCGAAGGCGTCTGACACCAGTATTGTTCGACGGCGTTACGATAGTTGTATCTGCGATTACAAAGTCTCTACTACAACGAGCATTATGAAACTGACAACGAGTATTCGTTGACATTCCAAAAGTGCCAAACGAATCGGCAAATGTCCTGTTTTCGATTATCAACCGATTAATCAGAGCAACGTTAATTGGAAACTCATTGAAATGATAATTCTCGTTTTACTATGTCAACTTTCCCCCAAATCTCATCATCTGTTAAATCTGAACTTTGCTGACCACACACATTACATTTTTATAATATTCCTTTCTCTTCTCCTCTTTTATCTATTACTATACGGACCGCTATATTTTAGTCTATCCTCTATTCAGTTCGGTGGTTAATATTCGAGCGAGTATTAACGAGCAATTACTATTAGTGCGAGTGTTATTCGAAGGCGTCTGATACCAGCATTGTTCAACGGCGTTACTATAGTTGTATCTGCGATTACAAAGTCTCTACTACAACGAGCATTGCCAAAGTGTTGAAACTTGACTAATGCATGGAATAATAATGCAACACAAAATGTACTTAGAACAAAATGTATTGAAACAAGAAAGTGTACACAATATTTACATATAGTCTTTTGTATGTTCCTGGTAAGACCATTCCTGGAGAATGTGTTGACTGAGTCGCAGTCGGGCAGAGTCTCTGGATTGAATCTCTTGATTCCTCCACTCGTCTTCCCGGTACCAAGTCATAACATAATTTACCTATTGGAATGCACGCTATGCCAGAAACAATGTGGGAAAATCTGAATAGCCCTTTCACTAGAGAATTAATAAATATCGTAATCAGATCAAGTCGGCTCCCCACAAAAGATTATTATCTGTAGAACAACATTTCCGCTTAGAAAAACAAGATGTTAAAAGCCACGCCAAATTCACGGTAACTGAAAAAATAGAAATAGACAGAAAAGATAACCGTAGAAAAATACTAGAGGAACAGGAATACAAATGGATTTTGCGCCTCAAAACACTTCATCCAGACGGGCTTAATCCCAACTTTAACAACATAGATAGAATTAATATATAATCCGATAAATCAAGTCCTACCCACATTTCTCACTAACACAAGACAAGCTTGCAGAGGTGTTGAGGCCTCACACTTATATACACACCCATACTAATATATACACTTTTTCACGGTGGATAAAACTGGAGCATCATCCCCTAATACAGCAACCATCTCAACCGTTATGTCTTTCGAGGCTGTTTGCAGAATGTTATTTACACAGAAAATTTAAGAGAAGTAAAAGATTTGTATAACAATTTTTCTCTGTTCAGAGGATGGGTATTTGTCTAGTACAGGCACAGGCAAACTGCAGGACGAGGGCCACATGGGGGCCACATGGGGGCCACATGGGGGCCACATGGTGCCGTTTGGCTTGCTTAATATTAGGCTTATTTTAACGAATAAAATATCAGATAAAATTTCGTGTTTTCGTTTCATTCTCACTTGTTCAATTACATACTCTCTCAGGCCAAGAGTTTGAGAGATGCTGATACCAAAGGAAAGTAACTATAAAATACCTGCGTAACCTTCCTTACCCGTTGTGCTTTGGCGATAATCTATATACCAAGCATGGCCACATGAAAGATGACTCATCATAAGGCGGGCCTACTAAAAAAAAAAAAATTCAAAATTAATTTTTCGTTGAATGTAAAGCGGCCATTTTCACTACAGAAGATCATCCTCGTAAGCATCTGCGTTATAAATAGGCAAAAAGATGATATTTAGAGAAAAGATTTTCTCTAAATTAAAAATGGAAGATTTCATAAAATATTATCCCTGATTACACTGTCATATTGTTGTGTGTCATTTGTTTCTAACTATATTATTTTAAAAATATGAAGAAAAAAAACTATATTCTTAAAGGAAATGTAAGTGTCTTTTCCAGAGAAAAAATATTATGAACGTTTCTCGTTTCTAAAGCTGAATATTTTTACACTTATGATCTTCCTTAATGAAAATCGCCAACGGTATAAAATACCGCGAATGTTGCATTCAAGGAAAGTTTACAAAATCAAAGAAACGTCATAATTCATTATTGATATGTATGCGGTTTAATCGATCTGTAACCAAAATGGATCAGACATTAATAAGTATGGGAGGAGACTCGGGCATTTAATAATAATTTCTCCTTTGACAACAGATTCTGCCAGTAATTTTACGTGAGAGAGAATGTGAGTTAACAAGTGAGGATGAAACAAAACACAACAATTTAATAAACGTTATTTTTCTCATTAAATTAGGCGTGACATTCAGAAGGCAAAACAGGTTGCATGTAACCTGCGGGCCGCAGTTTGCACATGACTTCGCTAAAGACTTTTTTCTGCAGGTATTAATAACACCACGATGCCAAATTTTGTCTATTTCCAGAAGTCATTACTAGTTACTTGCGAAGTCTTCTTTGAACAGTTAGATATTAGTTTATCTGGAAAGAAACAATGCAGTTATTAATAAAAAGTGTTGCAATTAATGCATGCAAGATTTTAAAGCTCTAGCGCCAATCCTTCACAGTCAGCTTATGAACTTTACAGTCGACCCTCGTACATTTGAAGTCTTCTTTGAACAATCAGACATCAGGTTATCTGGAACGAAAAAATGCAGTTATTCATAAGGAGAGTTAAATTTAATGCATCCAAGATTTTAAAGCTTAAGCGTCTCTCCTTCACAGTCAGCCTATAAACATTTCATCCCACACTCATACAGCTGAAGTCTTCGTTGAACAGTCAGATATCATCTTATCTGGAAAGAAAAAATGAAGTTATTAACAAAAAGTGTTGAAATTAATGCATGCAAGATTTGAAAGCTTTAACATCCCTCCTTCACAGTCAGCCTATAAACTTTTCAGCCAACCCTCGTACATCTAAAGTCTTCATTGAACAGTCAGATATCAGCTTATCTGGAAAGAAAAAATGAAGTTATTCATAAGGAGAGTTGAATTTAATGCATGCAAGATTTTAAAGCTTTAGCATCACTCTTTCACGGTCAGCCTATGAACTTTTCAGCCCTTGTACATCTGAAGTCTTCTTTCGACAGTCAGATATCAATTTATGTGGTTAGAATCAAAGGAGTTATTAATAGAAAAATGAGTTGCATCTAATGCATGCAAGATTTGAAAGGTCTAGCATCACTCCTTCATAGTCAGCCTATTAACTTTTCATCCCACCCACGCAGATAGATAGATAGATAGATAGATAAGAAATGAATGAAACTGGTATTTATAACAAATAAATCGTAACATTTAGATGTAAAGTTCGCCATGCACATATTTAAAATTTACTACTGTACCTACGCAATCAAAGATGGCGGCAATTGTTAGAAAGTTTTAATCGTGCGATGCAATGAAACAAAAGTCTTGAATTCACTATTAAATTAGAAGTGAATGAAGCGTTTAATTAATCCGTCCCCTTTATATTTTTTAGATATTCAATCGTATCTATGATTTATTGATTCCTCCTGGTATGATATAACTCGTTTCATTTAGTCACTATACATCTTAATGACTTGGTTTTCTACTATTTCATTATATTGTCTCAAAACGTCGGAGGCGGATATTCTGGTCTGCCCTTCACTGCTGTCAACCAGCAATGGTTACGATTTGGTGACATCACTCTCTGAACGGAACCTCGTATATAGATAGATAGAACTGATTAAAACAGATAGATATGAAAAAATGAGATAGATATACAGAACAATATGTATGAGCAGACTATGATAGATAGATAGATAGATAGATAGATAGATAGATAGATAGATAGATAGATAGATAGATGTGAACAGTGGTTAGATTTATCGTAACAGAAACAGATAAATAAATTTACATGAACAGAATTAGATAGATAGATAGATAGATAGATAGATAGATAGATAGATAGAAACAAAAAAACAAAGGGTAACGGAAGTGATAGATAGATAGATAGATAGATAGATAGATAGATAGATAGATAGATAGATTGTAAGACGGCATTCTAAGAGACGTATTAGTAAAGGAGCGAAGAAATTAAACGTTTCATCTTGACCGAAAATTAAGTTTGTCTAAATAACGATATTTTATTTGTATAGATTATTAAAATGATTATAGGTAGTAAACACTCATAAACTGACGACATCAAGTTGATTTACTTCATACGTGACACGAAAGATATAAATGAATAAATACACAATGCTAATTATTATATAGTATATAGTAAATTTAAATGTACCAGTATATGTGAACTGATATTTTATTGTTATTTTTTAATCATTTCACCACTAGCAAGGCAACAAAGCCTCTAAGACGATAGTTACTATGTGCGAAAGAATATAAGAAAAATAAAACATTATTAAGGAGGAATAACACTGAAAGAACATAAATAAAGAAGACAGACTATAACTTTTGACATTGCATTTGTATTTTCGAAGATCAAAGTTGACTGGAAAGTAAGAAGGCTGGAAGAGAATTCCACAAGCGAGAAGTGCAATAGAAGAAACTGTTAGCATAGAACTTACGGTAACACCTAACCATTTCAAATGTAAAATGATGAGACCTATCTGCCAATCTAGTACTGCGCATAAATTCATAAAGTCTAGGTGTCCATGCGGTGAACTCATCCGAAAAATTACCATGAATTTATTTATAGAAAAGACACAGGGACGCTACATCATAGTGGCGGGAAAGTGAGTGAAGCCGAGACGCCAGGTTAAGACCAATAATATTGCTGTTTCTTCTTTTGATTTTATCAAGAATCTATAAATATAGAGCAAGATCACCGGACTAGATGTGCCAGCAATATTCAAATCATGGACGAAAGGTAGACATATAGACATGCAAGATAGATTCTGTAGTGAAGAGTTGACTAGCCCGAGAAAATGAACCGACTTCCTTAGCAGCAGACATAGCAATGAATTCAATATAGTCATTCCACTCCATATCAGATGCGAACGTTAGTCCGAGAGGGGCAACGAACCACTCACCTTGGGCTTATCATCATTTTGCCTTCCATTAAACCTGATGGAAAGCAAAATGGGTCTCTCAGATGATTAATAGAGAGCAGTATCGTTTTGGTGGCATTAAAATTAACAAGTCATTCCTTGCCCTAGTTAACAACAGACTGTAGGTTATTTTTAACATCAGTTTCTAATTTGGTCTTATGGAACTGATCAGACTTACTATCGAGACAGGAGAGAATGGCTGTGTCATATACACCAAGTTGAGAGCTAATGCCACCAGGAAGGACATTGATGAACATTAAGAACAAAATATGGCCAAAGATGGATCCATAAGGCTATAGGAGACACCTGCATAAGTAAAAAATATCTAGAAGAGTGGCAGGTTCATTTTCATTTCGCGTTTTGATACAAGCAACGACGTAATTATTCGTACACCAATCAATTTTGAATATGTTTATCCATTTCTCAGAATCTAATGCCCGTATGATGCCAGGTTTTTTTTATGTTAATAAGCACGAAGAAAGTAATATAAAACCCGATTTTCAGAAGAATACATTAAATAAATGGTGTTTCATTAAGACGGATAATATAACGGATATTTCATTAAGCGGGAGTATATATAAAGGTGTTTCATTAAGGTGGATCAAAGTCAGCAGTAAATAAATCAGTGTTATTGGTGAAAATTTATTTATTTCTCTATTGTATCATGTTATTTAAGTTATGGCAATTATGCATGAAAAATAACATCGCCCAAATATCCGCCAAATCTGAAAGGAAAACAAAAAATCATTAGACGCTTAAACTTCAATTCACATTTAAAATAGGTGTGACACCATGCATACCTGACGAGCTGAAAAGAAATATTCATAGATATATGATTTGTTTTTTTTTTTTTACGGTTTATCAACCATTTGATAATTATTTAGGGCCGAAAAATATTTCGGGTTTTAAGAATAATTCTTTCTTTACGTTCAAGCGATCTGGAAGAAGGAAAGAGAAAACGAAGAAGAAAGAAAGAAAAAATAATACGAAAACAGGTCATAGGCGAGCACAGACACGCTCGGCTGACAGATAACAGGTGTCGAAAAATAACCAGTTCAAGCATCTAACCGAGATCTGGGGAAAATGGAAGTCGTTATCAATTGGTTGAAGAAACGAAGTTTAGGGACAATGAAAAATATTGATATGTAACAAGTGGAAAGTGTGTCATTTGGATGATAGTAAAAGCCTAAGTGGGTGGGGTGGTGTATCTAAGGATATGAAGGCAAACCATTAATACGAAAACCCAGACAATCTCCAGAATTGGAAAAAGCCACACAAGATGATGTCGCTGAAAATTTTTTTTTGAGATAATAAAGATTTTTATTATCGGACCTTCAGCCGGAGGAAAATGAAATATTTTTATTTCGTTCAAAAAAAACGCCAACAGGTCTGAGAAATCCCTTTCTTAGGTCATATCCAATTAGCGATAAACTGCTTGACAAATACCACGTGTTAAAAGCCGAAGGTGTCATCGCGGTCGCTCATGGTGGGGGCGATTTAGATTAATATTTTTGTTTTTTTTAAGCAAGGTGTTCCTTTCCCAAAACAAAGCCACGGATTGTCCACACCCGACTAAAGACGTCATTGGCTAAATAAGATCACATGACACACGAAGGAGGAGGAAAGATACCGACCAGGACCTCATTGGCCGAAAGCGGTCACATGACACACGAAGGAGGAGGAAAGATACCCGACCAGGACCTCATTGGCCGAGAGCGGTCACGTGACGCACGAGGAGAATCGGTCGACGCCCCTGTCAGAGGTGTAAGTGTGAGAAGCCGATAATGAAGAAGCGGGGAAGCAGGCACACGCCCTCAGAGGCACAGTAAGGGAGTGGGAGAGAGTGAGTTACCGAAAATGGAAAGGAATGAAAAATCCCTAACCAGAAATAAGAAGGGTGGATACGTATTTAGAATTATCGAAAAACCCCTGGCGCCGACAGACCCACCTCAGTTTTGACTGCGTCAATAAGAGCGGGACCCCAACCGACAGAAATCAGTTAGAGTTTGAGCAGCGTACGGCGAAAGAGTTTTGAGCCGTGGACGACAAGCAGAGATGAGCGCCCAGTGTTGAAACCGCGTCAATATAGCTGACCAAGATTCACGCACACTTCTGGACTCTTCTTCAACCAAGAACAAGTAGTTTGAAGAACGACTTAGAATCAGACCACAGAAATAAGTTTGTTTTTTTTTTCGACTTTCGTCCAAAGACACACCGAAACACAAATTTCTTAGAGAGCAGACAACTTGAAGCCTTAAAGTTGCCTAGTAAAAGCGTCGTGCCACAATCCACAGAACAGGTCGGGAAGTAGACATAGTCCTATGTACCGAGCAAATAGACATAAAAAGTTTGTTACCTTTTTCTTTGATACGTTGGACCTTGTGATTTTTTATTTTATTTTTTTTATATACATAATTGTGTGTTATCACCTCCGTTAGACTCAACTTGCATTACGGCCCCAACCCCTGTTTGAACTCGTCTGTCTAAGATCAATTCACAACGTGGGTAGGCAGACTGGAGATCAGTGCAGTTACCCTGGTAACCAGGCGTTGGAAGCGGGTTGGGAACGACGAGGCTGGTATCAATCTAACCAAAGGGTTAGAACGTCACGCTTTGGAGCAGCGAGGAGCGAACAGCTGACGCCGCGGCAAAGACGTCACAGTTGGTGCTGTCCGTGACCAGGATATCAGAGCCTGGGGAGCACGTGACGTCACAATTGGCACCGCGACCGGGATCGAACGACATAGTCGACGCTGCGACCGGGGGACGACGTCACATAGGTCCAAGTTATTGGAACACCGTATATATATATATATATATATATATATTGTCGTGATGTATGTGACCTTTCTAAACGAAACGTAAGCACACAAGGATTTGTTGAAGAAGTCATATACTTCTGTTGAGAAGATAATAAGGACTTAGCTGAAACTAAAAGGTGGCCATTTTGAATTGTAAATATAGTGTGTTTCATTAAGAGGGATTATATATAAGGGTGTTTCATTAAGACGGATCAAAGTCAACAGTAAATAAATCAGTGTTATTGGTGAAAATTTATATCGCCCAAAAATATGAAAAATAATATCGCCCAAATGTCCGCCATATCTGAAAAAAAAAAAATAATCATTAAACGATTAAACTTCAATTCACATTTAAAATCGGTTCAACTTATTGGAACAACCTTTACAAAAAAAATTTGACAAGCGAATTATGTAAAATCGGAAAAGAAAAAATTATTTGTAAAATATCGCTTTAGATTGATTGATTCTTGTCAATATAAGTAACTTACATAATTTTTTCAACGCGACGCCATCTAGAGAGTTTATTAAGTAGAATATTTGTGATAATTCCAGCAAAGAACATCACGTGGTGCATAGAGTGTCACCATTGTTATTCTTATGTTAACAACACAATGGGGAAGACAAAGGAGCTTAGCGTTGACTTAAGTCAGAGAATTATTAATTTCCCCAAGTCGGGAAATAGTTACAACACTATTTCAAACCGGTTAGCTATCCCAAGATCTACGGTACTGTCCGTTGTAAAGAACAGTTTGGCACGACAGACAATTTGCCTGGACGTGAAAAAAAACCAAATTGTCACCGAGAATTGCACGATAACTGTGTCACAAGGTTAATATAAACCCAAGAGTTGCTTTGAAAGACATCGCCATAGGTTTGGATACGATGGACAACAGCGTAAGTACTCGCATAATACAACGTTGTTTAAATAGAAATTGGTTGTATGGAAACCGGCCATAGGGAACCCCGCTTCACAAACCAGGTTACATTGTTGCTCGGTTTAATTTTGCCAAAAACTTCTTGAGCAAAGAAAATTGCTTTTAGGAACAAGTATTATGGAATGATGAAATAAAAATTGAGCACTTTGGAGATAATGATGTACAGAACATTTGGCGCTAGAAAGGCAAGGGTTTCCTCCTAAAGAACACAGTGGCAACATTAAAACATGAAGGCGACTCGATGATGTTTTGGGGTTGTTTTAGCTCAAGGGGGACTGGACAATTACTTGAAATAAGATAAAGAATGAAATCTGCAGACTGTATCAAAATTCGGGATGAAAATCGACACCTATCAGCTCAAAATCTTCATCTAGGTGTGTGACGTCGTCCCCCCAGGTCGCA